CTTGGATCCCAAGTGTTTCCAGGCGCTTAGGTCGTAGGAGCAGGTGGCTGCTTCCCTGGCACGGCTGTAAACAAACACCTCTTCTCATAGATGGGGTCTATGGAGCCAGAGGGATGGGTCGTCCAGGCGCTCTGTAGTTATCTAGCTTGTTAGACTTGCAGGATTAAATAAGCTTCAATGAAAAAATGCTTTTCCTCCACCCAGCCGACCTCTTAGCCTCTCTCCTTCCCATTCCTTCTGAAGCCTCATTTTTTGAAAGACAAATTGAAACTCTGTCAACCTCTGATGGGTTCCCTTTTCCTTTGGGAGAAAGTTAGATCATTCTGCAAGATTCTTCACCATCTGGAACTTAGAAGTGTCCCCTCTTCTGTCCATGCTCTCTGAATCTCTCGTTCCTCACCAAACTCTAACAGAGGCAAATGTTTTTGTAACATCCTGCCCTGGAAGGACAGCCCAGTGTCTTGGCTTCCCTGATCAGCAAAGCTTCTCGGGAGTCTTCGACATTCACGACCTCTGCTTCTCCACTTTCACCTTCTCCAGCTTGTCTTTGCTGCCTGATGGCCCGCGTCAATCCTGTCCAAGCCACCGAGGACTGTCCTGTTGTCTCATCTGCACCCACTGCCCACTCCTTCCCTCTGCTGACCTGCACTTTCAGGAGACCCTCTTCTCCCGGGGCTTCTCAGCCATCAATCCCCTGCTCCCTCTTTTCATTTAACGACTCTTCATCTATTAAGACCCAGCTCCTCCCGAAGTCACATATTTTCCCCTAAGCCTGGCTTCTTTTGGCAAACAGCCTCCAGTGACCATATGAGCTGAAATCAGTATAAACCATGAAGGATCTGAGCTCTTCTCCGGCTCCCTCCCTCCTCACCAACGCCACGTGACTCTAGGGAAGCTCCTGTGGCTAAAACATGCACACACTTTACATCGGAAAATGGCCTGAGTCCATTCATCAGGCATGCTCCAAATCCCCAGCTGAGATCTCCTTCTATCTCTCGTCCAGATTACATAACTTGTTAGAAATACAAGAAGATCCTTTCCATATGCAGTGATTGGGGCAAACACATTGGGAGTGGGTGAAAGGTACCAACGACATTGGAATTTGCAGGATTTCATTGGAGAACCAACTTCCTTGCACCCATCTCTTCACAGAGTTTGCTTTGGGTGGTTTCTTGTTTCCTCCTTTGGGCTGTTGTGAGTAGAGCTGCTATGAATACTTCTGTACAAGTTTTTCTGTGGACATGTTTCCATTTCTCCTGGGTAGACACCTAAGAGCGGAATTGCTGGACTGTATGATAAACCTGTGCTTTACCTTTTCAGACACGGGCCAGGCTTTTATTACTGTCTGATTTCACTTTCAACCTATTCCTGCAGCAAGGCCCCCTCCTTGACCTGACAAGAGCCAAATTAAATTAGGTGCCTCCTGCTGTTCTCTCTCTGACCTTGTTCTTTTACTTTGCAACATGCATAACGACTTGCAATTGCACCTTTATGTGTGATTCCTCCCTGTGTCTCCCCCACAACATTACAAGTTTGTGGAGGGCAGGGCCATGCCTACTTTGTTGACTGCTGCATCCCCACTGCCCAGCAGGGTGCCCTGAACACAGGACACCTGTGATAGACCCTGGGAGACAAAAGTCACGGGAGTCAGGACACAGGGAGAAGACAATCATCTATGAGCCAAGGAGAGAGGAATGGAATGACTATTTCACCACTAAGTGTATACCAATTCTTTCCTAAAGCAAATTTTAAAAACACACCTTTTAAGTAACTCTGCATTAATACGTGAACTCTCCATGCCTTGGACAAGGTTTTAAAATAAGCGGTGCATGTGTATGACTGCTCCCTCCCCAGGCTTCCTCCTTGCTCAGAGACATCAGAGAACGCTAGGATTCTTAAATAGTTTTCTAAATAAATTTTGTCCCCCAGAGAAATATATGATTAACATTGTGGTAAATATCTGGAAACATGTTAATGAGAAAAAAAATCATTTCTTATGCCATGTTGTTGAAATCCATGTAGAACTTGACAATTATGAGCATTTGCAATCAAGAAAAAGCAATGCGTCTATACTAGAAGGTGAGGATTTCACAGTTTCAAAACTATTTCATGACAGGCCCCTGCTGAACTGTTGGGAACCAAGGAAAGAGAGGGTAGGTACTTAATCCTTCCAGAACAGCTTGGGTCGAAAGATGCACAGAGCAAAGTAGTTAATTCGAGCAGCAATGAAATCACACCAGGCAACACGATGACGTCACTGCAGATTTCAACATTACTCTCTGTCCCTTGTCACGCAGATGCAATATGCTAACCATAGTGCTGTAAAAAGATCTGGAAACCAATTGAAACATTTTGTGACTGAGGTTTAACAAGACACACACTCTAAGCTGTGTTCTTATTTAGTTTTGTATGTCTACAATGGCTGGCATATAATAGGCAAACAGTATTTCTTGAATTAATTCAATCTAGATAACAGTTTTTCCGATGAGAACAGTTACAACGCATGAAAATATTCTGTGGCTAACGAAGGAGAAAAAAACCCAGTGCTCTGTGTACAAGACATTATCTATTGAAGAGATTCACCGAGAACCAGAGTATTTTGAGACATCCTGAAGATGTGCTTTCAGAACCAATGTGAGCTCTTCAATTAACAAATATCTTCCCCAATATCCTTTATAAACCAAGTAGCTTCAATCAACAGAAGCCACTGGAGAACACTACAGACTTTGAAACAATAATAATCCCTTGGTCTTTAACACTTCATTTTGTCTCTGCAGAAGATAGTTCTAGAGACTGCTTCTGTGGGACTCAGGTGAGAGAGCTCTGTGTAAGACCAGGCAGTTTCAGACCACTCCCTGCGGAGCAGTGCAGTGTAGACTGCAGAGCAGTATTCAGCAGAAGAGTTATGACAGATAGGCGAAAACTCATTGTTTTTCATTACACAACTTGTGATAATTGCAAATTCGTTTTTCAAAATTTAGAAACACTATTCAACACATGCTGAATTCAGCATGCAACTATCTACTGTATTCAAAGAAGTACGAACTGCAGTACCTAGACACTGACTACTGTCGCATACCCGAAATCATCCCTACCCTTTAGGAAGTTGATTCTTTCAAGTGTAAAACAGGCGTCTTCCAGATCTTTTATGTAAATCACGAAACTCCAACTGAAGACTTATTAGGTAGAAAAAAAAAACTCTAGTAAGTAGTAATCAGTAAGTTCTTAGAAGTACTGTGCATGTTTCACGTAGGTGGAATTAAGAAGAGATTGATGGTGTCATTTCTCAGACACAGTCATCAGTATCACAGATCCTCCTAAGAGCCTACGACACACCAGCAAACGTTAGTTGCTAGTTAGGGCACAACCGTATACGTTCTAGTAATCACTGCATGTCCCTCATACACTTTAAATGAGCTAAGAAAGTGTAACAATTACTCTTAAATTCTCTTGGCATGTGTTGTTCTGGCATAAATTTTCAGTGTCATCCCTCTGTAAAAGCAATGAGTTATTCAGTGGAGTAACAGCACTAAAATGTATCAAAGCAATCCGGCTGATAGGGAAGAATAAAAAAGAATGTATGTGCTTTGCCTGAATATCAGTATTTTTCCTTTGTGCAAAAATATGAGAACTTGGATGCCGCCTTGGTTAAAACACCACCACCACACCTAAGGTCAAATTTACCCTGTAAGAAACGTACCCTGATGTAGATCTATATCACTTAGATCTACATTAAACCTCTTTGTCTTACTCATGCAAAATGACTTACTGATTAGAAAACATGAACATAACACCGCGGAAGCACAAGATACATCCCAGATCAAACAAGCGACTTTTTCATCGAAAGCCTTTATTCACTGTACGACAGGGCACCACAGTTCCATAAAACACGTAAATTTCCTTTTACAGTTTGAGCACCGTTTGGGTGAATTAAAAAAAAAGTCAATTAGTCCCATGTACGTTTTACATTTGTTACAGAATTTTTTTTAGAAAAAGGTAAAATCATGACTGTCATCCAAATATGAAAAATATGTCAGAAGATTTTACTAAACTCAGTTGTGAGGGCGACAGTAAGACGTGACAAGTGGTCTGACGGAGAACTGAGGGCGCACACGGGCTGTCGGGAATGCGGAAATGAACTTGCTGAGCGGTGCAAAACCCACCCACAGTGATCGCTGCGCCAGACATGCACACACACCCCCACGGCTCGTCTGCGCTTCCGGAGTCGAGAGGAGGAGCAGGAGAACAAAGAGCAGAGGCCCCGGGAACGGTGTGCCACGCGGTGCCCTTCACCCCGTTTCGATGGCTTTCACCATTTTTCCCTAACAAATCACAGACAAATTCCAAAGGCTGAGTAAATCTATAAGAGGGATTAACCACAAAAGTGTAACGTCTGATAAGCTATTCCAAGTGTGCTGCGGCTCCCGGTCTCATCAAGTATATATTCTGAAATCGAATTCTATTCCTATCAAAGAAATGTAGAAAATCAATGTTATTTAAAAAAGGAAGTGGTTTTTCTGAGGTAGAAAACATTCTCCAATGTGGATATGGACGGAGATACAAGATAAATGCTATAGTCATGTTCCCGCTAAAAATAAACTATTGATAAACTACAAAACATTGGCTCACAGTTGGTCAATGAGTAGAGACCCAAAGAGATACGTTAAGGTCACAAAAAGAATTTTAATAGTAGCTAATACAAAGAATTACTTCTTAATACTCATCAAAAACATGGCTTTCCCACTCAGATTACAAACCAGATAGAATCAGCAGCTCACGTTGTCAGTTGTTCCTGCATGTTAATTATCAATACAGAGGAGAGTGAAACAGTGTACAATATATAAAAAATAACATATATGTATACACACATATACACAAAAACATATACACATATGTATACATACTTTACATTTTCCAGTCAAGTGTTCAGAAAAACTAAAATAAAACGAACACAAATATATAACTTATTTTGCCTTGGAGAGGTATACATTTTACACATACATGCATGCATATATATATACATATACACCTCTTCATATATATATAAAGCCTACATGCATGTTAGCACACTGGTATACACATGCATGTCTATTCGCTTTATCACAGACTACACCAGCTTGATTTTTCAGATGATAATTCAAGTTTCACCTCTGTTCTGAGCTATCTCTACTTTGTTTTCTGTCAACTGCCAAGCCCTGTCTTATCAACACTTTACGGAGCGGGCCAAGCCAACAGGAAGAAAGGCAAGTTTCAACAGGCCAGGATCAATATGCAGGTTGCCGCTTCAGTGCTGTGGCCTGCCCAGCAGCATGGCCCCGGCGTGGGCTGGGAGTGCAGGACACGCCCACCCTCACTCGTAGGGGGGCAGCCCGAACAGCTCGGGCCGGAAGTCCTGCAGGGAGTCCAGCACCAGCGTGGCCTTTGCTGTCAGGTCCCGGCTCAGGTGCCCGTCTGGAACCATAACCACCTGCATCCCGGCTGCCAGGGCCGCCTCCACCCCGTTGGGAGCATCTTCAAAGACAAGGCACTGTGGGAAGAAAGAGAGTCGAGATAGATGGCCTTTCGTGTAACCAGACATGTAGTCGAGGTGGTGCCTGTCACCATCATCCCATCAGCTCTGCAACCGTGCAAAACGAGACGGAGATACGGTGGCGGCGCCCCAGCGCACAGACTGGTGAGGACAGCGTGCTGTCCCTCACGGCTTCCAGGAGCACCCACCACGGGTCTCGCAAAGGGGAGAGATTTCCATCGCCAGCAAGGCATTCCTGAACTGGAGCACAGCTGTGCGGACAGTCGGTATTGTCAGCTTAAAACTCTGTTTTATTCGGATCATAACAATCTGTTCAATCAATAATTGAACATTCAGAGCACGAGAGGCAATGCAAAAATGCAAAAATAAATAAAATAATGCCTTTTAAATGTAAACCACTTCAGAGCTGCTCATGTTTGATGTACTGTCGTTTGAAAATTAAATGGTTAGTGTGTTTTAGTTAAGAATTCAGTTCCTGTGTGTGTCACTGTTATGTGACAACCACCCCATGAGCACAGAGGTGCGGTGCCCGAGTGCTCTCTCTTTCAGATGACCACGCAAATCCCCTTTACTGTTAGGATTACTGACACAGTGACGTCCAAAATCTCTGCACTCTCTGTTTAGACACCGCATTTCAGATGGGGTGTCTGTACGCCGTACTTGTCAGTGAGCTCCTAAACGTGCCACCATGTCAACATTACAGCAAGTTTCACAAGAGGACTCCCTCAGAACAAGACACCCTGACGTCTACTGCATGGTAAAAAGCAAGCACAGTCCCGCGGGGCATCTTTCTCTCGCCCTCCATCTCAGGAAAACGTGCACCTGGGAAGTTTCTTCCCTCTGGCTCCGGAGTTTCACACACTGCATGTGAGGACACGTTTACTGATGCTTCTCCATGGAGATGCTGTGGGGGCCCACACACCTGTGAAGCCAGAGGGGTCCTCCCCGCTGTGGCCTGGTAGCGAGAGGCTCTTCTGTCCCCGTCTTCCTCCACCCACGGCCTGGGGCTCCAGGTGCTGTCCAGCTTGGGGCTTTCAGCTCTCTACTCATCTCTGCCTTGAGCCCCTTGCCTTTTGTTACAAAAACTTTCTCCCCAGCTCATCATCAGAGACCCAAGGTGCTGCTGTCCCGCAAAGCGCTCAGATACAGGTCTGGTAAGAGCAGCTCTGCGTGCTCTGACGCTTTTAGGTCACTGGGAAACTCTCTCTCACACACAGTCTTAACTACTTGTGGTCTGAGCTGTAGCAAGCACAATGATGTTATTCCCTTTCTCCCTCTCTGTCTTTTTTCTTCTATCTCCCGTTCTTTCCTTCCATCTGGGCCTAAGATATGCCACTAGCCAACTTACCCCACAGGGCAACACCAGAAGTGACTTAATCCACACGGTGATGGTGCCTAGATGCCACATTATCTTCAGACTGAACCGTTTGCCCAGCTGCTCTGGTCAGCTCAGAACTGGAGGGTTAACGGGGAGGCAGGACGTCCGGTGCTCTAGTCCCACAGCACCAGGCAAGCCATGGCAGCTGGTCCTGGTACCTCCCTTCTGACAACTTCTGAAGCCCCCAGGGTTCTGCTCCTTTGAGACACTGGCTTCCCTCTGGCTAGAGCGGAAGTGACTGCCCTTATGCTGAGGTTGGTTTTCTCAGCTATCCAATTCACACTGTCTGTCTATGATATTTCTGTCCTGGTCTTTTTAAAGTTAATGATTTGATCGTACTCTAAATGCCCTCACCTGTTTTTATCTGGGACCAGAGCTAGGCATTTAAATGTCAAGTGACATTCTGAAATACCCATCACCTTGTCTGGGGATTCTGAGGCTCTGTGTCATCCACCTAGGAAATACTGGCTGCGGTGGAGGAAGGGATTTTGTTTATCCCTTGGGGTAATAACTCTGCTTGGCTGAAGTCACAAAAGTAGCTTTTACTCTGTCCTTGTGTGAGTGAGGCTGCTTCCACGGAGCACAGCAGGTGGGTGGGATGGGAGTGGGTGGCTCACAACAGGGGCACCCGCCGGCAAAGGTACAAAGGGAGGCGCCCAGTACATCCACGCTCACCCACAGGGGTCTGGGCTACAGGTAACGAGGACACCACGTGTCCCTTCACACCTGACAGCGCCTTCCAGATGCCGCAGAAGGAGGTAAAAGAAGCTACGTGAGGACTGCGAGAGCGAAGAGAGCACTGCCCATGCCATAGCACTGACCAGGGGAGTGGCCCACACGGGCTCTTCACGACATCTTTACTGTTTTCAGCGCTAATTTACTGATGCTCAATTCAAAATCTGTCCCCACTTCATTTTAGAATTACTAATCCAAAGATAGCAATTGATACCTGAAATATTACAATATTACATACCACAGATAAGAAATATGGTAGGTAAATTAAGGGAGACACAGAAAAGCACAGAGAATGGTGGATTCAAAGTAGGTAACAATGATTGTCACTGTTGTTGGGCACAATCAGAAGGTGACTTAAGCTCACGCACAGAAGGACCATGTGGAACATGCCAATGTGCGTAAGTAAGTAAAACCCTGAGCGCTCAGATGACTGAGGGACAAACTAGGAAGACAGGCCAGTCGGTCTGGGTTTCCCACCGAGGGCACTGCTAACTGCTCTAAAAGGTCAAGAGATGGTAGTTGATGCTGTGAACATGAACAGTAAACACAACCACTGACCGCAAATGTGTCCATGGCACCCGAAATCCCTGTCGTCTTCCTCCTTCCACGCGGCCATTTCACCAGACGGCTGTCAAAGATGCTTCTCACTGACAGAGCCCGAACTCTGACACGCCAGTCAGCTCCCAAGAATTCCGTTCGAGCAACGTGGAATGTGAGAACAGAGCTGGAAGCTTGAAAGGCTGACAGAATGTGGGCTGCAGGTGGTGGATGATGAAAATGTGGCAGGAAAACTCAGCAACACGGAGTGGACCAGAAGTTCAAGGAAAAACGGACATGCTGGGCCTCTAGGACCAGGCCTTGTTTGCACACCAATTTAAACGAAGCCACACACAGGACAGAAAACAGACACCAAACACGACTCCTGCGGAGAGCACCACCCCCAACCCGGGGTGGGCCGCATGGCCAGCCACACACGGAACTCATTCTGAGGGACTCCACAGCACACGCAAGTTCAGTTTTTGTGTGTTTTTTCTCAGAAGCAGCAGATTACAGAGTAGAACAACTACTGGGGTTCGAAGTACCCGTTATAAATGTCCCAAAAGGTTTTTATGTCTTCATTACACTACGTATCTTGACTCCGATGATCTACGGCACTTCCCAACAGGCCCACTCCTACGAGAAGAGTAACCACACGGCAGATAAACACCTAGATGTGTGGAAAATTTTCACAGCATGGTGTGTCTGTCTACCGAAATCCAGGGAAGAAACCTTCAACAGTTACCCGGAAAGACTCCGCCTGCTCATCACGGGGCTTCAATATCAAAAAAAGACATTGAAAAATATAAGTTAGAATAATGCAGCTTATCTCTTGTACAAGTAACAGTAAGGAGGAAGTATGTTTTTCTATTCAAAGAGGAGCTATCTCAGGGCCATTTCTGCCTGCCACGCCCAGCCGCAGCAAAAGCAGAAGCAGAAGCGGGCTCAGTTACACTAGACCGTGAAGCCCATTCACCCCGGCATGCACACGGTGAATCATGCACTCGCAGTTTCGCATCTGTGGAAAGAGACCTTTCCCTCTAAGGAAAGGAACTTCAGCTTCTGCAAGTGGTGGGGGAGCAGACTGATTTTCTCCACAGGAGGAACCTCCCTCCTCCACCCAACATGTCACCTCTCTGCCAGGACACGAAGGTAGACGTGTGTGTGGACATGCATGTCTTACACGATTCTCATGATTTAGTGATTACTTTGTAGCACCATGCATTTAATGGGTGTCCTAGGACACACCTCCACAACTTCAAGGCCAAGAAGAACATTCTTCTCACAGCCTGCGCGGACACCGCCGTGTGGGCTGTAACTAGGTGGGGCCTGGGTTTACCTGCACTTTCTCATGTTGCCACGGCCCGTGGTGAGCTTCTGGTAAGTGCAAATCAAAGATGGTGGAGGTGGCCCGTACAGGACAGAGAGCACAAAGGGGCCACGCGATGTCAGAGCTGAGGGACAGACAGAGGTGAACGCAGCCCTCTTCTCTCCTCAGGGTGAGGGACCCTTAGCGTGACCAAGGTCAGAGGTGAGCTGGAGGTCACACAGACACCCAGATGACAGAACTCTGGCACAGAATCCAGGTTTGCAGAATCCAGCGCTCTTTCTACTTTATCAAGCTGAAGGATAAAACACAGCTGATTTCCATTGCTAGGCGAGGAGATGAGCTTAATTAAACTGTAGCTTCAGGGATTTAATTTAGAGAGAATGACATTTCCAACTCTAAGGGAGCCAAAGCATTTTGGCATCTTATCACCTGGAGGTACTGAACTTACTTCTCTGATGACGGTTAAGCTGAGCCGTGCCCCGTGAGATGGTCTACGTCCAGGGCTGCTTATTGGAACCACCGGGGGACTTGAAGGGTTCCTGCACTTTAATTTCTTAAGATAAATATCAGATAACTAAAAAGTTCCATTTTATAACTGAGAAGCTCTGTGTAGTAATATCTTTGTCTGACAGCCCCTTCGGGCTGCCGTCAGCGAACTACAGACTGGCGGCTTAAACACGGACTCTCATGGCTCCAGAGGCTGGGGTCTGGGATCGGGGTGCTCGCATGCTGCGTTCTGATGAGGACCCCCTTCCTAGTTTGCAGATGCCACCTTCTCACTGTGCCCGCATGTGGTGGGGGCGGGGGAGACAGAGGATGCCAGGTCTCTGGGGTCCCTTTTATGAGCACACTGATCCCACTCACGAGGGCTCCCCATGACCTGGCCACCTCCCAAAGGCCCCGCCTCCCAGACCATCACACTGGGGGTGAGGATTTCAACACCTGGACTCTGGGGGTACACAACACTCAGTCGACAACACAAAGGGCATGGGTAAAAGCGGTTGCTGATGTGGTGGG